CTTCGATATTCGTTTTATATGTTTGTACTGACACTCAAATACTTAATTGGACTTGCAAAATTAATTGCTTATATCTATTTAAAGTATATATAATTAATGTGGTGTCTGAGCAAATCAATTTATTTGAACCTTAATTAATTTTACTAGATATCTTCTCAACATAGATGTTGAGTTTAAGTAACTTTATATACTATCACTTGGAATTCGAATAGATAGAAAAAAAATCATTAGTATTTATGCCTTTGCATCAAAATAAATAGTAATTTTTTTTTCATATACAATTTGTATCACGTCAATATAATGATGGAATACAAGTAGATTTTAGCACTTAATTATGGTTTATTGATGATATATTTTTGCTTTTTAAAATTATCTATAAATATATATGACTTGATGAGAATATTGGATGAGAATATATTGTATATACTGAAAATATTGTTGTATATACATATATATGACTTGAGTAAGAAATTTATGAACTTTAGGATCCATGTTGAATATTAAGAATATAATTTTTTAAAGTAGTAGTCGGATCTGGGAAACATCACATGTGGAATCTCTACACTACACATTGGGAGTAGAATTCTTGTATTTTAATTATGTCTATTCACTGATCTCACCTCGTGACCATACTATTTAATTTAGTGATATTAGGTGAGGATCTTGACCTAATTAATCACTCATACAAACTACTAAGAAAAACTACGGATACGGTAAATATTTAGATATTATAGCTATAGTTTAACAAAGTTGTAATTAGTGACTATGATTCTTTCAATTTTTGCTATTTGATCTGATGTGTATAAATTTAAATTTTGTATAATTCGACTTGTAATTGTATAAATTTAAAACTTTATACATGCTTATCTATTTGTATACAAAAAATGAGCAAGCGAAATATATAAATAGAGTTCTGAAAATTTTTTAAATATATATTTATCATATTTTTATATTCACAATCGAAATATACAAACTGCAACCTCCATAACAAACAAAACTATATCTATAAAGTTCAATTAAAAAACATAGCTATGGAACCTTATTAATTATGTCTATTATATTTGTTATTTCAAAAGAAAATCTCAATTAATTAAGGCACCTATTATACAAATATATAAATTAAACTTGAGAACTTGTTTCAAAATTTCAAGAAACATATTTACTCGATGCCAACCTACGTACGATATAGAAAGAAATAAAGAAAAAAAATGTTACTCCTCAATCTAAAATTATAAAATTACTGTGGTTAGGACATAGAGATGGAGTCGTACAATAGAGATATCAGTACTAACACGGGAGATGACGCGATTTGAAGTCTATAAATTTAAAATTTTAGTTTTATATTTATTAATTTTCAATTTAAGAATTTAGCTATAACTTACATATAAAAAAATAAATTTAATATTCATAAATTAAAGCTACTGAATTTTATCGTTTTTACCCTCGAAACGTCCCCGAGTAAAGACAAACACGCTTTGTTATCATCATGACCTTCTCCCACGTATCTTTCTGGAAGGACTTTGAATAATTAGCTAATAGTAACTACTTAGTCTAGTCTATATTTATATTGATTAAATTTTAGCGGTAGTAATATATTCTATTAAGTACTTAGTATATACTTTATGGAGGAAATTGAATCTTTTTCCCTTTTATAATTTGATTGCACATAAGATCATTTATAAGAAAAAACGAAGATCTCTTATAAAGAAGATAAAATTTAACATTATTCATAAGAAAAAACGGATATCTCTTATAAAGAATATAAAATTTTAAAAGTTCGATATGTATATGATTGTACATAATAATCATATACAAAGGTGCCTTGAACAGGAGGGGAAAAGACGTTTAAAGCCGGCTCGCTCTGAAGAATTTATGATTTATATACGTTTCAGGCCGGTGAGAGGAAGTGTGGAATAAGGATTGATTTCACTGTATCTATCGTAGCCCACCCCATCTACCTATATCAACTTCTTTTTCATAAATAAATACGGTATCAAATAATGACTTTTTATCTAAAACATATGTAATTTAGGTTATTATCGCGCAAGTATTCACATCCTTACTCAAAACTTATGTTTGTGAAAAATAACAACAAGTATCTAGTAATAGTCGAGTTTACATGTTAGCTGAACATCGATCATTGCTAATAACATTTGAGAAATTATAAGGGAAGTGACAGGTGATGGGAGTAGTGATAGTACTATAGTAGTATGGTATTGTCTACTGACAATTCAATGCAGGGAAGAAGAGAAAAAAATTATATATGTTGGATAAAAATTAAAGACATGAAATAAAAGGGGAATGTAATTTACGACAATGCCAGTGGAAGAAGAACAAGTTTCACTAACTTAGATTCTACTTGAAGGGTCTCTGTCTATATTGTCACTTCTCTTACATTCCCTTTCTAAGCTATCTTTTGTTTTTCATTATTGTGACTACTTTTCTTTATCCCCACCAACAACACTGTAAAAATGAACTTATTCAAATCAGCTGCTTACATCTGTTTGGTGTTTACAAGTTTGTTTGTCACTTCATCATGTTTAAACCAATGATATACTACATGTACTCTTAAATTTGGTGGAATAAAGATACATATATCGCGTTTTAATTTTGAATACATCATTTAATACTCCGGTATATTGTGTCTCGATTTCAAGTACATCAATATTGCATCTTTGTTCCAAATACATCACTCAACGTTTTAATTTTAAATATATTTCGATATATTATGTCTCGAATTCGAATATATCCCTTTGAATGGTTGTAGCGAAAAGGTCGCACCCCATATGAAGGGGTGTCTACGATAATGCTTTGTTAAAATTTTTTAATATTATATCTATAAAGATTTGTTAAAAATACATGAATCAATAGTAGAGTTAATTTTTTAATTAAGAATATCCAAAAATAATGATATGTGAATATCAAAATTTAAATAAAAATATATTGTGCTATTTAGAATTTAAACTCAAAACTTATTCATTCAAATGAACATCATTACTGAAGTATTAAAGACATAACATTTTTAAAAAATATTCTATTTTAAATATATAACTTTTAAATATAAAATTTAACACCAGAATTAACTAAGTAGCCCCTTTTGAAGGCCAAATCTTTAACTACTTTTAAGATATTCCATTTGTTTTCTACTCATTGCACTCTAGAAACTAGAAACTAGAAAGAAGTCTTTTTGTGGGGGTGGGGGGTGGGGTTGCCCAAAGTGGTTAAATTGTAATAGTGAAATGATTTTTCACCATGTTTCATAGAGAATTGGTTGAGTTCTCAGGCAGTCAAACTGAGCAGTAAATTTTTTCCCTGTATTTCTTTTTTTGGGTTTTTTTTTCACCTTGTCGATTCTAGATACATCTCTCTGCCTCACAAGAATATATAAATGATATGGCTAAAAATATTTATTAGTATAGTTTGCTTTTGGTACTTTGATTTTCTATTCGATAATTAATCTGATATAAAATTTATACTTTTTTTGTTTAAAAAAGAATAACCTTATTTTCTTTTTTTATACTCCTTTTATTTAAAATAGAATAACTTTATTTTCTTTTTAATCTGTTCCAAAAAGAATTATCTTCTTCTTTTTTTTGCAACACTTTAACTTTAATTTTTCACATGTCATGTTTAAGACCACAAGATTAAAAGATATTTTGAATTAAAAAGTTTTCTTTCTTTTCTTAAATTTTGTTTTAATTTAAATTTAAGCTATTTTTATTTAACGGAGAAAGTAATATATTTTGGTGATAGTAAAAAAGTGCCAATGTAATGATTAAAAAATTATTTTGATCACAAATATCAGATAAAAGTTAAAGATATTTGGAAGCAATCGAAAAGATTATAATTAAAATATGAATTTGACTTGTATGAGGATATTAGTGATGACGGAAAGGGTCAGTAAAATAGTAGTTAGAAAAGAAAGGAATTATTGCGTCAAACCTAAATTATGAATATTTAAAGGTTAAGTTTTAGGTAATAGACATGTCAGATTCACTCTTTTACATCATCGGCAGGTCATCTTTTAACTATTATAATGATAATATCATAGTAATTCATTACTAATAATTTTTTTTTGATAACATGGTTATATAAAAAAAGTTATTTATATTGATCAAGCATACACGATTATATTAAAGAAATAATGAAATTATTATTATTGTTTGACTGGTAATTTTTAATTCAAAAATTTATAATAAAATTGTCATAAATATTTATTTATTAAGAGAATATAAATATCGTGTTTGTAAACTATGATTTATTTATTTGATAAGATTTTGTAAAAGTTTGAAAAGTTTATGTTTACAAGAAAAATATAAATAAAGAAATTCAAACTATACGTTCAAATAAAATTTCAACTTCAAATAAGCATTATTGTAAATCATTAAATTTCAAAAACAATTTCTGTATCTCAAAGAAATAGTGATAAAGTTTTCATAGTGCTTTATGAGATTTCACTTGATATATTATTGTTGTTGTTAAAATCATGTCCAAACTATATATAGAAAAAGCCAGGTAAAACTCGAGGGTCATTCGAACTATTTTAGATAAAATATTATAATACATGATTAAAATGCAATATCAAAAATATTTTTATGTAAATATAATAAATGTTGTGATTTATTTTTAAATCATTTATATTTATTTATTTTTCAAACTTCCTAATTAAAAAATATTGGCTCTCCCATTGGTCTTGAAATTTAAAAATAGTTAGAAACGAGGGAGCACTATTTATTGGTACCTTTAAAAGAGTCAAAGACGCTCTCAAACTCACAGCATACCAAATTCCCTATTAAACTGATTCTCCCCTCACTCTTTTTATTTTCTTTACAAATACTATTTTTATATGCATATATATATAAAAAAATATATGTGTATATATTATATCTACATTTTTACAAAACTTTTATGTATCTATACTTTTTAATTTCTTTTTTAAAAGTAACTGGTAATCATCATTTGATAGTATTGTAATTTTCATGAAAGAGATTAAAAGAAATATGGAAGATATTTACCCTGCATCTCCGGTAGCAGTTGCACGTAACAAGAGTACTGGAAACGTGATGAGTAGTACCAGTACTCCTTCAAAAAACTGCTCAATAACCGCCGCGAAAAACCACCGCCACATGACTGCCGTCGTCGACGACGGCGACGGCGACCCGATTGAATGTACGGGGAAATCGTGCAAGTCATGTACAGCTGGAGTTGTAGCCGATTGCGTTGCATTATGTTGCTGCCCCTGCGCCGTGATTGATATTTTAACACTGGCGTTTTTCAGGATCCCGTGGACGATGGGGAGAAAATATTTGGGGAAAAGTAAAAAATCGGAAAAAAAGAAGAAAAAGAACAATAATAATAAGAAGAAGATGATTCAGAATAAGAAGAAGGAGGAGGAAATGGAGAAGAGTTACAGTTACCGTGACTGCGTTACGTATGAATTGGACAGTATAGATGGAAGAGTTTCAACAAGATCAGTTAGGGATGAAGAAATCGTTACAGGAAATTTGAAGAAATCATTGGGAATTGTAATTGGGGAAGAAGACAAAAACAATACTAGTGCTAAGTTTGATGTAGAACAATTTTGGTTAGATTTGTATGAACAAGTTGGTCATTTGGGATTTGGCAGAGTTTCTTACACTGGAATCCCTTCTCAAGGTAATACTGGGTAACTTTTTTTTTTTCATTTCTTCAAACATCCTGTGTTTGAAATTTGCGCGATTGAAAAAGCTCAGTACATCTTTATTTTCAAAGCTCGAACCTGTGACTCCTGTCGTATCTCCGATGTCTACAGCATTGTTCATAAATGGAAGAATCATGAACAGTGAAAGGGAAAAAGAGCAATATAGCAGGATCAGTATTATTAGAAATAGAATATTTTGGGGGGTTCTGAACTTTAAAAAATCACCAATTTGTATCTTGTATTTGTGAATTGTACAGTTTATTGTATGTTCTTTTTTTTTTTTTTTTATCACAGTGCTATTTTGTTACCTTGTTCTTTATATCTAAAGTTTTCTTTTGATTATATTAGAAAAAAAAAAGAGGTATAATAAAGCTATCTATTTAAATCATATACATAAATTTTACCTTTTTAAAGATGACCTATCTTTGTTTTGTTTTTTAAATACTAGTTTCTAGTACTTCTATTTTTAAAATGAAGGGTAGTTTCTTCTCCATATTTGCTTAATGATTCCCCAGTTTGCTTATTAGCATCAACTTAATGTAAAAAATTAGATATGTATTGATTGGGCCCAAGGGTGGGGGCTGGAACAGTTGCACAACATGATTATGTTTATGATATAGGAAATCTTTCTACGACCTACGTTGTTGGTTCGTTAAAAAACTAAGTTTTAAATTAAAATACTCAAAGCTAAAATAATTTTCGGATTAGACGTCATGAAATAAACATAAAATTTAGATAACAATCTCTAGAAATTACTGGAATGAGAAACGTAAATTAAAACTAGAATGAGAAACAACAAAAAACTTCGAAAAAGAACCACACTAAGATGTGGCAAAAGGGCCTCCTTTTTTTCACCTAATTCCACAAAAGAGGCCCAAACTCGTAATTGACAACATTAAAATGTGGAATAGATATCATATAGCAACATTAATCTCTACAGAATTTGCAATCAGTATAATTAAAAATTGTAAATCTATTGGCAATGGATTGCACCTAGCTACCAACCCAATCAATTAATATAATAACAAATCTTGACTCATAGTAACATAGCAGACGTGTGGCCCTCTTACATTATTAGTGCTAAAATTGTTTTTTTATTTAAACACGGAGAGACAAGAGAATCCTAATATCAAATTGTGTTTTTATCAGGATAAAGTTTGTTTTTATTTTTATTTTATTTTCCAGATCATTCTTCTTTTCTTTGCATTTTCATGTTTGTTCTTGATATATAATGTCATTGTAAGGACAATCCAATAATTAATCCAAAATAGTAAATGCCATGAAATTGAATAAGTAAGCGTTCTAATCATTTTGGTTCTACTCAACTTTCCTTGATCCCTTGTAAACAATTGTAAAAAAATAAATAATCCAAAAAACATAGTTAATTCGAAATGGTACATTACAACAACAATTATAGTTCTGGAACTTCAATAACGGAAATAATAGTAGGGATAAATATTCTTCAAACATGTTTTGAAACCTACTACAATTCATTTTCTGCAAATCCTGAAATATTCTTTTCTAAAATGTCAGAATTTTAACTGGGTTGATATCCAAATCTAGAGTTACATAGCTAGTTCACAGCCTTATAGCTCCAATCAATGTTTGGCAAAGATTATGAGCCATTATTATGCCAAAGAATGAACTCTTGACTCCCTCTAATTGTAATTGATGTATTCGTAACTGCTTAATGCTTGATGCTGGACAATACCTTTCTTCACTATCTGTGCTTTGATATTATGGTTAGCAGAACTTCACGACTGTTTTGGGCTTATCACAGACATTCATTGGCACCCGGAAGGTACATTCTTGATAATTCATTAAAAGAAATATATAGAATGCCTTTGATATAGACACTAAACTTCTGCAGTCACGTGACAAATACAAACTTCACAAGGCTATTGTATCCATAAACAAGCTCATATCAGTATGATATTAACTCTGAATGTGCAAATAATAGACTCAGAAAACCGACTGTATCCCTGCATTCAACAAGCAATTCAAGCTACCATCTCTACAAGTGCAGTTCAGGATCTTTTGACAACGATACATTGACAAGAATATTCATAAATGCAAAACACAAACGCATTTTTACTTCCCTTTTAGTTTTGGTTGGTCAGGGGATGGCTGCAGATTCAGCTAACTCTTAACAAAAACTAATCAAAGTAATTGCAACTTTATAGTAACTTGAGCAAATCAATTGTACAGAGCTAGCATCCTATGCTCCTACTTCATACACGAACCTAATACAAGTGCATTCAGTATCCTAATCAACATAAGCTGGACAATATACTAACACTATCAACAAAAGGAGAACACATCAAGTTGAAGCAACCAGCTTCAGGAGATCTCCTATGGGTTTGTTGAAGTCACTGCACTTACCTTCTCCACCAAGCCTTTTATCTCATTCTCCAACTCTGATTTCTCAGCGCTTGTAATCTTACCCTTGCACTTATCCAATATTGATGCCATCCCTTTCAGCTTCTGCTTGATTAGTTGTACCTGTGACTTCCCCTTACGAGCTTTTAGCGAGGATAGTGGACTCTCAGATTTAGAGGAATAGCTGAGCGTAAAGTTCACATTAGCAGCACCAAAAGGACTTTGCCTTACCGATTCTTTAAAGGCCTGTGCAGCATCTGCACCATGCCTGTAGACAATTCGAACAGAGTTCGAATCACGAAGCACTTCTGTTTCCTCTTCATTCAGCTCTCCAAACTTGTTATATATTCGAATGATTTCATCTTCTGGTGGCAAAGAAAAACCAGTCAAAAATGCCACCAACAGAATCACAGATGAAGCTTCTCTACCATCATCCTCATCTTCTTTTCCCTGACTAGAAGGACCATAGTCTTTTTTGAGTTTGGTAACTTCTGATTTTGCATAATTTGTCTTCCTCTTCTTTGAAGGAATGGAGTCTGGTGATTCAGTATCACTCTGGGAAATTAGATTTCCTGATCCCGCGGATTTTCTCTTCTTTCCTGTTTCCATTTGGTGATACTGCTTGTAGTTTGATCCATCATAATATAGCGAGTTTCTGAAAGTGGAAATGAAACCTCTGGCCTTCTCAAGAGATCCATTCCTCAACAGAAGAGGGTTTAGAGCAGTAGACTGAACCTCGGACAAAACTTCATCCACAGATGAATTGATAGCCACGGTATCAAAAGTCCTAGAGCTTCGCTTATTGATCCCAGAACTCTTGTCAACGTCATCCTTGAAGGCCTCTTTCCCATTCGAATCAGGAGAAGACAAAAGAAGACGTGCAGCCTTTGTCATCCTCTCACCAATCTTGGAATTATCAGAAAATTTCTGTGATTCTATTGCCAGTTCTCTCTTAAAGCTTGATTTTCCTGCATTCCACTTGGGGCTTGTATAAGGAGGTGACAAATACTTGCTCTTCTTTCTTTCCCTTGATAAAGGGCCCGCATTGTCTTGCTGGTTGCCAACTTCATCACTCTCAGGAATTGAAACACTAAGTTTCTTTGTTTTCACCAAGTCACTGTCACCAGACTTCTTGTTGACCCTCTTACCAATTTTTTCATCAACACTCATCGAGCTGCCAGTTTGACCTTTAGCTTTCTCACCAGACTTCTTCCTTTTCTTCTCGGATGTTTCTACAGACGAAGGTGTAGAATCGTCTTCAGTTGTCTTCTTACCTTTGGGCTTGGCGTTCTCTCCCATAAGTTCAGCCACACTTTTCTGCTTCCTCTTCTGATAAATCTTGTCGCAGGCAGTCATAGGAAACTTTGAAGATCCAGAATTAGGAATTTCTTCTGATGGACCCTGAATGGGAACCTCAATGGGTATGCTGAAGTCATTTGCATCAATGACTTGATCTTCCTTCTTGTCCTCGAGGCCTTCAACTAGAAGGGGTTCACAATATGAAGCCAAAGGGTGTCCATACTTAGCACGATAAAAAGCAGATAGCCAACTATTCAAGACAGCAAACTCAAGTATATTGGAATGAGAATTGGTTAGTGCATTACGTTTTAGACCTTTAAGTCTTTCCGCAGGTTCAAACTGAGAAAGTAAAAGACTGACAGTTTCTGACACAGGCACTTGAACACCCTTTTTGATTCCAGCATTCACTGCCAATGGCCAACTAAGTCCAGTAAGACTCTCTTCAGAGACACATTGGCAGGTCATTTGAAACTCCACAAGCACACCAATTTCATCCAAGGTTTTTTCAACAGCATATAAGAAACTCTTGGAAGTGCTCTGCTTTGACATTTTTTCAAAGTTGTCAACAAAAGGCACCAATTGCGAAGGGGGGCACCAAGAAAATGACCCATCTCCAAAGTATGCCACTAGCAATCGACCTGTTTGATTATACTTCATAGCAAAGTCAGAGGCAGTGGAAGCATCGTAAACACGCCCTGGCCACCACGGATGACTCTTAATCTTGCCCCACACAAAGTCACCAACTGCATAAACATGTTTTACACTAGTTGTATCATCCCCAGAGTTATCCTCAGCAGTTTCTCCGTCAACAGCATCAATCATCTCATCATCCGAACCACCAGCTACATTCTCCTCTCCGTTCATTTCCTCAACCAAATGTCCAGACCCTTGATCTGCTTCAGCCCCTTCACTCGCAAGCTCTCCCCCACTCACATTATCCAGTGAACCATGAACTTCCACCACATCACCACCAGCGTCACTCCCCACTTCCAGGGTCTCCTCTGTAGCAACAACTGGCTCGCTAATAGCACCAGTATCCACATTTCCATTATCATCAGAAACCCTAGGCACCTCATCAGACAACCCAGTTACAGAATCAGCCATTAGGGTTTCAGAGTCCAATGCTTCAGCTGACAACCCATCTAGGTTTTCGCTCTTCTCTGTTTTTTCTTCACTCGACATACCCAAATAAAACGTTACAAAACACAATCACTTCAGTTCTATACCGGTTCAAATCTGCAACAAGAAAAAAAAAACACAACACCCCAGCTCAGAAAAATCCCCCCCCCCCAAAAAAAAACATAATCAGAA